CCAAGCAACAATATACAACAAAACAGCAACAACAACAAACCACTGACAAAGAACAAATTAAAACGCAACAAGAAAGAAAAGCTTGTAGTTAGTTCAAGGATCGCTGGCCTTTAGGAGTGTTTTGCAGTCCAGTCTGTTGGGGCACCACACCTTGGCCCCAAAGTCCACCTTCAGCATTCCCTGGGGACCTTGCTGCTCCATTCCCTTGCTGTTCCGCTGCACTCCCCCCAAAGCACTAGCCTTTTGACTCATAGTCAAATGCAAACTATTTGCATCCCCTAAAGCCACTGCCACAGAGTTCATTCCACCTCATAGCAAAGCTATATGGAGTTTCCGAGCCTGGGAATCTTTAGGGCTGCAGAGAGCCTCAATTTTCTCCCTTGGAGTGCCTGGCGGGTCTTGTGGTTAGCAATGCAATGCCTAACCCACAGCACCACCAGGGCTCCTAAGGACTTATATCATTGTATCACTGTAGGTGTGTGTGAATCTACAACCATTCGTTTCACTATCACAGTTTCTCTGAGTTCAGGAAGGAAGGGCTCAGCAGTGTGGTTCTGGCTCAGGGTCAATGGCTGCAGCTAGAATAATGGGCATTCTTAGGCACCACCACGCTCCCTTCCTGTAAACATAAGGCTTGTCCCTGGGATCTTTCTGCCTGGTTAGCTAGGGCTTCCATACAGCATGGTGGTCTCAGAACAGGCATGATGGCTGAAGGTTTTTAAGGGTGTGTGGTCCACGGAACCAGGCAGAAACTGTAGCACCTTCTCTGACAGTCTCACCAGCCACCAGGGCTACAATAGTCTACTGGTTCCAAGAGTCAAGGGGAAGAAGGCAATTTGATGTCACATCTCAATGGGGGAGTGGCCAAGTTCTAGGAGAGCAAGCAGGGTGGGAGAGTTGTGGGGTCCTCTTTGGAAAATAAACCTGTGACTTAGCATTTAGAGTTTTCAACACTCGCTACCATCGAGTCGATTCTGGCTCTTAGTGACCCTATAGGACAGGGCAGAACTTCCCCGATGGATTTCTGAGACTGCAACTCTTCTCCGGAGTAGAAAGCCTCCTCTTTCTCCCATGGAGCAACTGGTGGTTTGGAACTGCTGACCTTGTGGTCCACAGCCCAGGAATAAATGCTGTCTTACTGAGAAAAGTGCATAGCATGGTGCCTGGCACATAGTAGACATTCAATAAGTGGGAGCTTATACTGACAGTGTAGCTGTTGCTATTCACACCTGTGTGTACATGTATGTTGACTAAGCATGTGTGCATATTTGCACTCATGACTATATGCTCCACATTTATTTATTTTACTGTCTCATTCATTAGGGTATGGATTCCAGGAGGGTGGAAACTTGGGCAAGTTAATTTCCTGTAATAGTCTCGGGCCCCTAGAATCTGACCCGGTGGGTGGGAGATGCACAATGAACGTTGGTTGGATGGATGGACAAATGGATGGAGTGGGGGTACATGTGGATGTGTCTATACCAGTGTGCAACTGTGGACATGCGCTGAATGGAAGTGCATGAGCATGTGCGCTCCCTCCCGTCCTTCTGTGGCTGTCTATCAAAACTCACAGAAATGCACCAGTCCACACACAGGGAAAAGAAACCTGGTGCCTGCCCCGGCTTTGTTCTCTGTCCCCAGTGGTGGCCACCATGAGAGACCTGGGAAAGAAGGGCATGCTGGAGGACGCTGCTGGGGAGACTCTGGGGAAGACCCTCACCGTGGCCCAGCTGGATGTGTGCAGCGATGAGTCAGTGGCCCAGTGTCTCAGCGGCATCCAGGGAGGGGACGTGGACGTGCTGGGTGAGGCTCTTCAGCCCCCAGGGTCACTTGTCCCACCCCACCCCCACCCTGGGCATAGCATAGATCCTCATCACAGCAAGGTCACTCCGGTGTATAACAAGGCCATGGTCAAGAGTCCGGGACACCAATTAGTCAGCTAGGAACATTAGAAATAAACTCAGACCTGCGGTGGGATGGATCTAATTGGATAGAATTTCTCATGGAGAGAACCATCTATGGTTGGGAAAATGACTTTGATGAGTCACTTGGGTAAGACGCCATGAGGAAGAAATAACTCATGGTCCCTAAGCTGTCTTCTGAGGGGGGAAGGTGTGGGTGTATGGATGCAATTTGGGGTCAGAGCTGAATGGCTCATGCATCGAAGGCGATGCTGTTCCCAGTGGCCCTTCTCCTCCCCCTCCCCAGTGCTCTGGGTACCCTCTAATGAATGCTAAAGGTTTAAGATCATCAGGACTCTGCATTTGCCCATCCTGGAATGGCCCTGGGCTTGGAGTAGGGCCAGGGTAACTCAGAGAGTGCTCCTGGGGAGACATTGGAAGGGTTGGGGGAACTTCAAAGTGATTCTCAGCTCTTCTCTTCTCCCCCATCCCTCTCCAACTATAGTGAATAACGCTGGAGTGGGTCTGGTGGGTCCCCTGGAGGGGCTCAGCATAGCTGACATGAAGAACGTCTTTGAGACCAACTTTTTCGGGGCTGTGCGTCTGGTCAAAGCTGTGCTTCCTGGCATGAAGCGACGGCAACAGGGCCACATCGTGGTGGTCAGCAGTGTCATGGGACTGCAGGGTGAGCTCCAGGCCAATACTGGGCAGCCTTGCTCCCCTCCATGCCTCCCCCTCCCCAGGCTGGGAGGTTGGAAAATAGCTTTTAGTTCATTCATACTCAAAACTAACTTAGAGACTGAGTTGAGAACAATTGTGAAACTCACAGGAAGAAGTTCTGGGATGGATTAGCTGTGTCTGTCATGGTGCAGGCCTAGGCGGTGGTGGTATGAATGCTGAAAATCTCTCCCACCCATTCTCCCCAATCCAAAGGAATGATCAGAACTCCTGCTCCTGAGACTGCTCACCAAATGCCTCCCACCAGTTGCCAGAGATGGTTAGATTTAAAACTCTGGGAACAGAAAAGAGAGTGGCAATTGATTAGTGATGTCTGCCCTGGAAACCATGTCTGCTATGGAGACCACCTATTTGCCAACCATGCTTCTGGTCTTTCAGTCTGGAACCCCTCTAGACTCCCTGCCCTGAAATTCCCTAGTCTGGTCCCGCCCCACCCCACCCCTGGAAATTCCTCGAAATCTGTCTTCTCCTCAGCAGGTCCCTAAGGAATCCTCTTGTCAGGTAGAAGTTGCATCTACTCAGCCCCACCCTTTGGCTCACTTCCTGATGTCAGGGCCATATTCCCTGCTCTGCAAGGATTAGCAAGGGCCCTGATGAGTGCGGTCTGCCTTTCAGGGGTCCCATCCATGTCTAAGTGGTCCCAAGAACTTAGAAGAGGGAAGCAAAAGGGGGACGGGGTTGCTGAGCTGAAGGCAGGTGGAGCACTCTTGCAAGGAGGTGACACCTAGCACCCCAGGACAACTTCATCTTGACCCCCAAATGTTCCCATCCCATGATGCCAGATGCCCATGGCCCCAAACATGCCCTCATTCTGGGCCCCGAATCCCCTTTGCACTGTCTCCCAGGGGCAGCACCACCCAAAGCACCTTCGTCTCCTCAATTCTCTCAGGTGTCGTGTTCAACGACATCTACGCTGCCTCCAAGTTTGCCGTAGAGGGCTTCTGCGAGAGTCTGGCCATCCAGCTGCTGCAGTTCAACATCTTGTGAGGCAGGGCCTTGGGCCTTGGTAGGGAAGTGGGGGGGAGTAAAGGGGGAGGGGGAAATAGGGGGGAAGGGGTAAACTGAGCGATGGTAAAGGGAGGGGGGGAGTCAATGAGGAGGAACAGAGGCAGTGGAGGAGAAATGGAAGCAGGCAGGGAGACAGTGAAGGGGGTAAGGGAGGCTGGGACTATGTGGGGAAATCAAGGCGGTGTCCTGGCTACGTGGGCTACGTGTTGGGCCTCTGACCACAAGGCCAGCGGTTGGAAACCACCAGCTGCCCCTCGGGAGAGAGCACTGGGAGTTGGTCTCAACGGAAACCCACAGGGGCCCTTAGTGCTGCTCTCTTCTATTGGGCCGAGGTGAGTCAGACTTGACTCAGGGCAGTGAGTGAGAGGCGGCAGCGGGGTGGGACACTGCGGGGACGTCGAGGCACTGGTGGGATGGGCTAACATGGGGAAGAGAGACCATGGAGAGGGTGGAAGGCAGGCAGCGGAAGGCGCAGAAAGAAGGGACGGACTAACATTGGGAGAAGTGGGGGACAGTGTGGGGTCACGGGGCAACGAATACCCGGCCACCCACCCATCCTCCAACCCTGCCAGCGTCTCCCTGGTGGAGCCGGGCCCTGTGGCCACCGACTTTGAGGGGAAGCTTCTGGAGCAAGTGGCCAGGGCAGACTTCCCAGGCACTGACTCGGCCACCCTGAGCTACTTCCACGACCTCTACCTCCCCGCCTCCCGCGAGCTCTTCCGATCCGTGGGACAAAGCCCGCAGGCGGTGGCGAAGGTGAGTGTGTGTGTGTGTGGTGGAGGGGTATGGGGGTGCCCAGAACCTAAGACGTGTCTCAGATATGGAGGGCCCCTCCCTGCTCAATCCACCTCCCCTCCCTGGGTCTCATGGAGGCGCTGGGCTCCGCCCCACAGGCCATCGTCAAGGTCATCGGCGCCGCCAGACCACCCCTGCGCCGCCAGACCAACGCCCGCTACTCCCCGCTGACGGCGCTCAAAGCCGCTGACCCCTCGGGCCGCCTGTACGTGCGAACCTCTCACCGCCTGCTCTTCCGCTGGCCGCGCCTGCTCCACCTCGGCCTGCAGTGCTTGGCCTGCGGCTGCCCGCGGGGCCGGGTGGGGCCCGGGGAGCAGCCGTAGCCGACCGACCGTTCTCCGGCTCTCTCTGCCATCATTCGTTCATTCGTTCGTTCATTCACATTTGTTCAGCAAACCCTGACAGACCTGCTCAGTACTGGGGGATCTGCTGAGACCCGCCCCAGCAGCTGCCTCAGCTCGCAGCAGATCTCTAGCCAGGACGCACAC